AAACAGGAGGGGAAAAATCTCCAAGCATCTATATGGTGAGGCTTCCTAGAAGCTGCCTTGAACTGGGTTTTGGAACATGAATACAATTTGGCACAGAACTACAGAAATGAGTAGGGAAGCTTACTGAAACCATCTGGCTTCTGCCCACACCAGGCTACTGAAACTGCTCTCTAGGATTACGAGTAACTTCCTAATTACTGAATCATCCTTGAGCTCTCCCCTCATAACTGCCCTGGCTTTTCCAAGGCAGAAATGCATATCCTAGTTTTTCTCAACCTCTCTGATCATATCTTCTTTACCACCTACACTGATTCCACTTCACTTCCTAGACACAGAATGCCCAAGATTCTTTTTCACTTCTCTTTTCTCTGCAACCTCTCCCTTAATGACTTCATCCTCCACAGTTTTACCTTCTACTTCTTACACAGACAGTCCCCACTGGTACCATACTATCCGAGGATCTCAGGCATGCCTCAGGTTGGCTATGAAACCTAATTCACCTATCCTCCTACAGAGTCAATTTCCTATTCTAAAAGAGGTGATAATGATAAATACCCTGGAGGGTGGTTATGAGGGTTAAATAAAAATGTTTAAGTGCATTGCAAAGTAAAAAGCACTACACAGATATGAAGTTTTATTACAATTCCCTGAACTAGATATAATCTTACTTGTTCATGAATACCATTGATGGTGTTTATCTCTTTCACACAACATGTATTTTATACACATAGATACCTTTCTATTTCCCTAAGATGTATTCAACAACAAAAAACATTTCATGAATGTGAGTATCTGTCATACGCCAGCCATTGTGCCAAGACCTGCAAGTATAATAATAAATCCTATGTTCTAAACAAATGAGCCTCAGCTTGAGCCATGAAGGAGGGCAGTTTTTTCCCATGACTGAGAGAAATTGTGTCAGAAAAGTCAGGCCTCATCAGAAGCAGGCGCTCAGGCAATACAGTGAGTTAAATATCTTCATTATGGGTAGGCCAGCTATGGCAGAGTTCAGAGAAAAACACAGACTCCATTATAAACTTAATATGCAACGCTTCTCCTCTAACTTGGTCTAGCTGGAAACATTTCATCTTGTTACTGACACAAATCTGAAGGGACAATTTGCTAGCAAGTGTAGGGCATGTGTGTTATAAAACCCTACCTTATTACTTTCCATGCATCTAGAAGTCTTCTGTTAGATTTGAAAATCTATTTAGTAACACGTAGCATATATTTCTCAGTGTTCCTCTATGTCAAAACCTATGGACTATTTTACAGCTTACTCGTCTGACCAAGTTCAGTGTTCAGTGCTTCATTCTCACTGTTAGTGTTTCTGTCTTGTTAAATAGTAAACTTAAGAGCTCCAGATGATGTATGACTATCCTTCAAGGGTTCCACATCCATGGAGTCAACTAACCATGGACTCAAAATATTTGGAAAAAAACTGCACCAGTATAGAACATGTACAGATATTTTTAATTTTCATTATTACCTAAACAAAAAAGTTTGACAGCTATTTACATCACAGTTACATTACATTAGTTATTATAAGTAACCTAGATTTAAAGTATGCACAGGGGCATGTGCATAGGTTATATGCAAATGCTATGCCATTTTATCTAAGGGACTTGAGCATCTAATGATTTCAGTATCTGTGGCGGGTCCTGAAACTAATCTTCCATGGATACAGAGGGACAACTATATGTGGTATGGGTAAGAGTATTAAAGGTTAGTATGATCTTATTCCTTCCTCAGTCTCCTACTCCAGAAATGAAGGAACTTTACATGAGGAATGGGTGAGTAAAAGGAGCAGAAAGGAAAAGAAAAGATTTTAGGATCCTATTTAGGAAACCAGACTAACCCAATAACTCAATGCCAGTTTTCACCAGTTTGTTACAAGTTTTTGACCAACAATAACCTTACATTACTTTACTCTCGGCATTCTGACTTTGGAATCTAGTCACTGTGCCATCTACCAGGCCAAGTCAGGACATCTGACTCCCTCGCACAAGAACTCTCCGTGTACCTTATCATATGGTTGCACAGGAACTCACAGATATATTTTAACCTAGCTCACAGCTTTTATAACCAATTAGTAATTTGACAATTTATCCTTAAAAACTGAACTTTGAGCTATTTTAGGAGCCCTTTGTGGCCAGGCTAGTTCTTCACTAAGCAGTGAAAATGGAGAATCTCTGCTCTGAACATCTTTGCATTACCTGCCTCCTTCTCAGTTTCTGACTCAGAAACTTCATCTTCACCTTCCTCTTCCTCTGAACTGGAGCTACTGGAGTCTTTGTTTTCTTCCTCCATTTCTTGGGATTTGAGTGTCTCTTCCTCATACAGCATCTTCTCTTTGCTAAATTAAAGATACAATTTGAATGAAGTCAGAAGTGACGAACCACTTATGTTCAATGACAATCAGCTATAATATAGGAAACAACGCTATAAAGCTGTATGTAAAAGCAATAGCAGAAATATTCAAATCCTCTTCAATATCTATGTGTTATTCTGTGCACTTGGTTTCTTTCAGATTAAGGTTTAGTACTGACTTCAGGGTATGAGTCAAGATGGACTTGGTAACCCATCACAGTAATCCCATCTACTTGGAAGGATCACAAGTTTGAGGCCAGCCTGTACAATTTAGCAACTTAGCCAGACTCTGTCTCAAAAATAAAAAATAAAGGGACTGAGGATGTGGCTCAGTGTGAAGGCCCTGGGGTGTAATCCTCCTCAGTGCCTACACACACACACACACACACACACACACACACACACACACACACACACACAATATGACTGAAGGAGATACGGCCTGTTTAACATACTGGGAAAACCATGAAATGGAATGATAATGGGGGCAGATAAATATTTTTGAAAATCATTCAACAAATATTTACTGAGCACTTATTACATGCCAGCAATCATGCCAGGCACTGATATAATAGTAAACAAGACAGGCAGGCATGGTTCCCGAGCTTATGGAGCATACAACATAGTAAAGGTAGCAGAAGATCTAAGAACCCCATGGTAGGATAGAAGAAACACTGCATGCATACAGCCTCAATTAATTTCTAAATTTAAATCATATTCATGTATCTTCAGTGTTTTCCCCTCCCATATCAACACCATCTCCTTGCTCACAAACTTGCCCATATTTGAAGATCATCTGGCTAATGTCAAACACAGTTTATCCACTTTATAATTCTTAAGTATATCATCCCCCACATAGCCAAGCTCATCTAGTTCTCAAGCCTAAGCATCTTACTTTTTTTTTCTTTTGGTACCGGGAATCGAACTTGGGACCTTGCGCTTGCCAGGCAGGCGCTTGTGCCACTGAGCTATATCCCCGGCCCCAGCATCTTACTTCTTAAAGAGTCCACTCTGCAACTTGCTGTTCAGGTCTGATTCAATGAGTTTATTCTGTGTTTCCTTTTCACTTCGAAGCTAGAAATTGAGAAAATAGAAAAAGGAAGAAGTTGACTATTGGTAAGGAATCAGAAGTACTGAGAAGCAAAATGACGCCATCATTAGAAAGAAGGTAGGATCAACACTGAAGAGGGGTTGGGGAAATTGAGGAAAAGAGAATCACATCAGTTGACTCTCTAGAATAAAAAGCCAGAAGAAAAATCCTCATCCAAGGTAGAAGAGAAAAGCTACAGCATTGAAGCATTGAGAAAACTGCCTGGTTCAAATATCCAAGCTGAATCTTGCAAAGAATCCTAGCTTCTGAAGGTTATAAAGCCAACAGGAATTTGGTAAGAATTTGTTATGATCCATATACTGAAATAAAATAAGCTGGAAATAGTGCTAAAGAAAGCATAGGCACTAAATGGGAAATCAGTCCGTAGGGAAAGCAGTCTGAAATTCAGGTACACACTCTAGACAAAATGTATTCATATTCCCGGGGGCTAAACTTTTTCAGGCTACAAGGATAAATACCATTCCTATTAGTGTAAAAATGTTACTTAGTAAAGGTGTTATTTATATTAAAAACCTAAGTATAAGGCTAGGGATGTAGCTCAGTGGCACAGTGCCTGCCTGGCAAGAGCAAGGCCCTGAGTTCGATTCCTAGTGCAAAAAAAAAAAAACCAAAAAACAAAGAACTATACTAGACAAACAATATATAAGAACTCTACTATTTTCATAACTTCTACATAGCCTAAAAATTCTTTCAAAATAAAATTTTTCAAAAAGCACACAAAAAAAACTATATAAAATATATATCTTGAATTAGGAAGGCTGCTGCTGCTATATAAAACTACTACCATAATACTGCATTTGGAAAGCCTCAGCATTCAGTAATTCCTGACTGTTCAATAAAGAAAACAAAATGAGATACAGTTGTTGTCTCAGTTTTATGTATATGACTTTCCCACTGAGTCTTGAAGTACCAAGAATCCTTGCCTTATTATCCAGACATTAGCTAAACATACCCAAGGTTAGAGATGGTAGATTTTTCCCATCGTGGGCTTCATAATTCTCTGACTCAGAACTGTCCTATATCCCACATTTGTTCCAAACTTAAGTTCATATACCTTGTGCCACAGCACATGGAAAGAAAAAACACAAAGGAAACCCAGTGATTTTTTTTGCGGGGGAGGGGGTCCTATCCTATGGTTGAATTTTATTCTCCTCACCCAAATTATTCATCTTTTTATGGGTAGAAAATGTGACTTATTGTCTCTTCATCTCTGTACTGAGAGGTTGTTTCCCAAGCCTGTACATGGGCACCACACTTACACACGGCTCCTACAGAGCACTAAGCAAAACAGCACATGCAACAAGCAGTAAGAGATTTAAAGTGAGGAGGAGCGAGAAGAGGTCATAACTCTGGATGGTTCCCAAATCTGGAATGAATATGAATTACTGACCAATAACAAATGATAAACTTTAGTATTATGTTTGTTAAGAAGGACGTTTATTCTTCTTTGTAATCAACGTACTTCAAATAAAAATATTCTTTTAGTCAATTAGAAAAAGAAAAAAGCTATGGTGTCCTTTATTCTGGTACCTCTTATTTGGAAAAAATGCTGATTTGAACATATTCATTTCCTAGAACTCAAGGGTTATTACTAGTTTCTGTTGTTGTGGAGCTGCTTGAAAGCTAGTTTAAAATATGCAAATTTTAATAATATCGTTTCTGGGATGCTTCCTTCTAACAGACTGTTCATAGTTCCTGAATGAAATAACTAACATATATGGAATAAAGATATATCAAGTTCAGCTCTCAGCAGACATAACTAAAGCAAGTGTCTAAGAAACCCATCACGGAATGCAAACTTCTGGAAAAGCTTTAAAAGTATCAACCAGAGACTCACCACATTCTGCTTCTTCTGAAGCATCTCCAAGTGTTCCACAAGACTCTCATCAGCCACATCAAATGGCGTCTGGCCCTGGTGGAGAAAGGAGGCACCATGACTGCTAGAAAACAGAAGTAGTGATCACATGACTTTATGAGAGACTTCTCAGTATTTACTTTCTCCCTTTGATTCTAGTGATACAGGCTGAATACCCTTTATCCGAAGTGCTTGGAACCAGAAGTGTTTTGGATTTCTTCAGATTTTGGAATTTCCACATAGATATAATGAGATATCTGGACAATAGGACCAATTATGCTTCATATACACCTTATGCAAACAGACTGAAGGTTGTTTCACACAATATTTAAAATACTTTTATTCTCATAGTGCAGACTTTTCCACTGGAGGAGACATTATGTCCACATTCAAAAATTTCAGATTCTGGAGCATTTCGGATTTCACATTAGAAGCTCTACCAGTAGCTGCTTCCCTAATTAGAAACAACAAATCCTTTAAATGCAGTTTTATACTGCGTGAAACAATATTGAGGAAATTGCCATCAAGAGCAAGTAAATGCTTATTCCATCTTGGCAAATAACCAACGGGAATCCTTACTTGTATCTATTCGGAGCCGGCGGGATGAAATCTAGGGCCTCATGCATGGAAAGCAAGCACTCTATCACTGAGTTATACCTCCAGTCCTCTTAGCAGAGACAGTCTTGCTGAACTGCCCAGGCTGGCCTCGAACTTCAGAGTCTCCTGCCACAGCCTACCAAGTAGCTGACACTACAGACATTCACCATCATACTCAGTTCTAAAATGGTCTTAGTTGCAATAATAAATTCAATAAAGCATCCTAAAAACCTAAGAGGGTGATTCAGGGAACATGTACTCCAAAGATTAAGTTATGGGAATCATCTCCTTTAAGTGAGAGAAGGGCAGATGGGGGGTAATCTCTTTCAGGAAACATCAGCACAATCAAGGGCCCCAAGAATGAAGCTTGGGCTCAGGACAGATGTAGGGCAGATAAGAACATCTTCTAATTAAAGACCAAGTCTCTGGATTCCTGGAAAATCAAGAGACATAGGGATAGGATTTTACGGACTTACAATCTGCTTGAAGTGATCTTTGAAACTCAAGAATTTTTGTTATAACATTTTTAACGACAATGTGAATAAAATTCAGCTGTTAAAAGACTTTGAACTGAAAAATAATAAAACCTTTCACACCTTACTGCAGATCATGACCTTAGGTTTCTCAAAGCTCATTTTTTACCAAGGGAAAATATCTTTTATTTTTATCCTATTTGTTTGTTTTAGGGGCTTCAACATAGATAGACTCATGAGGTTAGTGGAGCTTTATTTTTCACAGCAAACATGTCTTTCTGTTAATAGCAGAGGTGAGGGCAAGGTGGTGGAAGGCAATACCATAGCTACCAATGATGTGTATTTCCCCATAGCAGTCACCTGCCATTAAAGAGACTTTACGCCTTTTGTTCTAGAGACTAGGCCCCAATCTCACATCAGAAGCGCAGGCTCACTAACCAGTTTGTTGCAGATATCCATGTCACAGAGCGCTTCTGCCAGGATGGAGCAAGCCTCCTTCACTCCCCAGTGCGCAGCAGCATGGAGGGGAGTCCAGCCGTCATGATCCTGAACATTGAGTTCATAGCCAGCCTGAATTAAAAGTCTAAAAAGAAAACCCCAAATAATATACTTATCTCTTTGATTTTACTGTTTCTGTCTTGCTAAATAAGCTGTTTAAGACTTATTCCTACCCTACAAGGCATAGCTCCAGTTTCATAATTACTACTTTGAGCACCAGTCATACATCATCATCACTAACCCCCTCCAAAAGGTCACGCAACATGGTATTTCCCACATATGTCCACGTTATACCATAAAATGGGTGTGTATGGACAGATGTGTACCTGAGATTAACCAAGGCCTAATTCAACTAGCCAAAGAACCCAACTCCATCATAGAATATGTTTTCCATTTTCCAATGCAGGGAGAAATTAACATATAAAATGAAGACTTAAATCTTCAGGGTATTTTTCCAAACTAGCTTTCTGGTTAGTCTAAGACATTACAGGATTATTGTAGAATCTCAAACCTCCAAGTTTGCAAACATTATCTGCAGAGTAGTCTTGCTAACTATAAAACTATAATCTAACTTGTACCCATGTTATACAAGAGAAAAGATATGGTTTCTAAAGCCCCAACTTGCACAGGCTGCTGGAGGCCTTTTATCATGGGTTTCCAGTCACCTTTTAAGAATTGTGCAAAGTGTGAATGTCAAGCTCAGGTAGATGTGGAGTTCAACACACTGCCACAAGTACTAGAAATCCTAAATTAGATGGAATATAAAGGACTCCAGCAGCAAGTACACATACAATGTCTTTAGCAACCAATGTGTTTGAGAAAGCCTGTCAACATTCAGCACCAAGAGCTACACAAAGTATCTATGGATGCAAGGAAAAAAAGAATGAAGTAGTAGAGCCAATCCTGCATGTGAGTTTGACTAAGCTATTCCAGGTGGACACTACACATTCAATGTCTATAGAATTGATCTAATGAGCAAAAAAAGTTACCTAAATTAAAAAGGACAAAATGATCACAAGACTGTCCTATACTACAGGTTACAAGAAGAAGAGGTTGTAGGGGAATTAATGACAAATTCAGAGTGGAAAGAGGTCTTGAAAAGTCACTTCAAGCCCATTATACCTCAAGTGTATTTCACATCATACCTGTCAGACAGAAGCCACAGGGATAGAAGGAGGGAGGTAGACTATTTGCAATATGTGAGAAAAAACCTGCATGATCAGAGAGGAAACCAACAAAAAAGGAAACACATCATAGTGAAAAGTCTAGTTCACTCTCTGCTTCCAAAATTCATCTCTTCTCCCAGAAAACCAAAACTGCTTCATGTAAATGGACAATACCTGAGGACTTCAGAGTAGCCCTTGGCAGCAGCCACATGGAGGGCTGTGGCCCCTGAGCGAGCCTGCCTCACATCTTCTATTTTCCCACTGTTGAGCCACTGGCGGGCATCCTGTAACATCTGCTGCTCTTCTTCCTTTCTTGACTGCTCTAGATCAACTCCTACAGACACCAGACAGCCAGCATTATTAAAGTTCCATGTAAGCCTCACAGGTTATTTCCTTAGATTCAAAACACATCATAAATATAACCACAAATAACAGTTTAGTCATCAAGTTGGACATTATTAAATTTAGAAGACCAATGGCATTTGTACACACATTAGTGGTCTTAGCAAGGTTAAATTATCAGGCTAAATATTATGTGATACAGACCCAAGAAGGGAACAGACCTAAAACTGTTTCCAACAGAACATAAAAATCAGAGGGAGGAAGTATTTTACTTTACAATATTTGTACAAAGCTACAAACTTCAAAGTCCTTTTACATGTAGAATAATTTTAGTTTCCCAAAAGTGCTTTGAGGTAAATATAATAGATACTACGATCCTCATTTGCCAATTGAGAAAAATAAACATAGAAAAGTTGGTGCCTTGCTCAAGGCCACAAAACACATCAGCCACTAGAACTCTGGTATCCTCAATCCTTTGGTTTTCTTTTCCAGTCACTATACCATATAATGATGGTATCAAAAATCCTGGTTACAGATATGCTATACTTTAAAAAAACAAACTACCTCTGAAGCTTTTTTTTCTACATGTAGACAAATACACTGACCTGAAAGCTATGTACATTCAGTAATCTACAAGTGAGCAGGTGATCCACAACTTAAAAACCAGTCTGCGTTCAAGGAGATATAAATTTTGTTTCCCTTAAAAGCATCATGGAAGCCTGATGTGGTGGTGCATGCCTATAATGCCCAGCTACTCAGGAGGCTGAGGCAAGAAGAATGCAAATTTAAAGCCAGTCTAGGCAACGTGGGGAGATCTTCTCTAAAATAAAATCATAAAAAGGGGTTGAGGATGTAGCTCAGTGGTAGAGTAGTTCCTAGTATGTGAAAGGACTTGGATAAAATCTCGTATTGGGACCGCCCCCAACAAAAAAAATTATGGAGGGACTCAGAGGGTTCCTCCCTTTAACCAGTAACTTTCCAATATCTAGGCCAGGGAAGAAGGGCTAAAGTAGGGGCATTTCTCATTATATAACAGAATGAAATGTCCCAAACACAAAGCATACCCATTCAGAGAGTAGTCATACCCATTAGCAGTCTCTATCAGTATTTGATCTGTGCCCTCCCAGCTTTTAAATGAGAACCTGTGAATTAATTATGGATTACCTGTCTGATCTGGGGAATGGATGGGATGAAGAAACTTACTTAAAACAGACCAGAACTCTACACATTGAAGAGTTAACAGTGCTGCACAGTTAGGCAGACATAGAACACTTGCTCCAGTAGAGCATATGCCTTAACTGAAGAGTCAGCCAGCAAAACAGAAAAGGTAGATTCTCAAACAAAGACTCTTTTTAAAAAACTAGTTAAAAATATATGATTTGTAAACTGCAAAACGTATCTCAAACTAAGTGAGAAACTCTGAGACAAGAGGGTAAACCAAGCACAAAACTCTCCAACAGGGCACAAAAAAACTATATACAGAAGGCAGCAAAAACAACAGCTGTTGACATTATTTTAAGGTAAGCTCCATGTGCTTTCTATAAAGGGCCAGATATTAAATATTTTCAGGTTTGCCAGTCATCTGATCCATCAGAACTTTTCAACTCTGCTGTTGTAACATAAAAGCAGCTTTGGATAATATGTAAACACATGGCTCTGAGTATGCCAAAGAAGCATATCAAGAAAGGCCACTGGGGCTAAATCCGTTGAGATAAACTACAAATTGTGGATAAAATCATTTAGCAGTGCCCTCCCCATCAAATCACTGCAACTCATGTGCACAGTTCTGTGTTGGTTCCAGCAGAATTCCTAAGACCTATCTGCCCTCCTTTTTTTTAGATTAAAAGAATCCAGGGGCCTCTAGTAAGAGAATCTTACCTTACCCCCTGAAATGAATTCTTCTGAAACTACAAAGTAAGAATAAGCATTTTTAGAGTATATTCTTCTAAATTCCACTCTTTACCATAACAAACTATCACAATAATTTTCATGGTTAGGATGGCTAAAGATCACTTCAGAGATTATAGCAAGTATCTTTACAAGCACCACTTTTAGTTTTCTTCAAAAATAAAAGATAAAAAGCCACAAACATGAACTAATGAATATGGTCATGCTGTATCCCATATTTTCTTTGGATCCTGCAATGTGTAAAATCCAACATAATGGGCAACATAATGTTCTGCTGGAACCAACACAGTAAGAACTGCAGACACCTCTCATCAGGTCATCCAAACTCTACAACTGGACATACAACCTCAGAATGGCACTTAGTGTATTCTTTTGAGTTATTAAAAGGATACATGATGTTGAGAACTGACAGTGCTGTGCAGACAGATCTAAACCTTTCCTGTCCTATGATAATCAAAAAGTCTACACCGTGAGCAGACTGTGTGCTGTAAGGGGCAGTGTGAGAGTCTCCCCTAGCCCTGCTGATTTCTTAGGTTACCTTGCTTCTTCACTTGCTCCAGAAGAAGATCCTTCATAGCTGGCTCTTCTGCAAGGTCAGATGGGACCTCACCTTCACTGTTCACCATACCCACACTTGCTCCATGGTTAATGAAGTACCTGTGCGATAAGACCGAGGATAAGTATTATCTTCCTATCTAATACCAACTTATACTTGTGCACCTGAAGCTCACTGTGGAGCAGGGACTTATCTGGAGATTTAAATATGGTCCTGATAAGGTACTGTTATAGTCAGGGTTTACAAGGTAATGGATTTAATAAAGGACACATAATTTCTAGAATTATTTTATAATATTCACCCAAAGAATCAAATGCAAGAGAGTGTAGGAGATCTGTCCACACACTAGAGACCCAAGGAGTCCAGCTGAGGGCCTGGATCCCACAGCAATGTACTGCATGAGTCCAGCGAAGACTTAGAACCCATGGCAATGTCTCATGCAAATCTGTATCAAGGATCTGCACTGGGAAGGCCCAAAGATCAGTGGTGGAAGCTAGAAAGTCTGTGCTAGTGGGATGAAGGATCTGTGCCAGCAGCTGAGGAATCTGCATTGGAGCCAGGAAATGAAGCTCAAAGTAGGGACAAGAGCTCCCCCAAAGAGAACCACAGCTGTCCTCAGCAACAGCAAGGACCTGAGCTCCTCCAATGATGAGAACAGTTGAGTCCACTTGTTTGGAGAATCAACAGTACACCCTCTTCCCCTCCAGTTCTGCTTTTATGCTGTTGGCAACAATCCTCAGGTACGCCTTCCACACCCAGAACTACGCTGACTCAGCTCAGCTGGGTGTTACAAGTTGACCATTCGTTAACCCACCACAATCCACCCGATCAACTTGATAACCAGACATATTTCCTTAAACCATAGTCTCCAGCAGCAGATTTGTGAAAAGTTAACAGATCTTACATCTATTCAGATTTACATTAATATAACAATTACATATATACCATTCTTATTGCACTCATTCCCACACTAAAAGCAAAATATTCAAAAGGTGATCAATACTCTGGTTTCTCTTCAGATCATATAAATCTTTCCCCTTTCAAAAGGTGATCAAAATTTTTTTTAAAACCACTTAACCTGACTACAAACTTATCTAAAAACTACATTAAAATTTTATCAAAAGGGCTATTGCAATCACAATCCTTGCTTCTCATTTTTTTTTTATTTTAAAGAGTAAAAGAAGGATAACATAGTAATGGGGGGCTTACCGAATTACAAAGTGGTAGGAAATTATCAATGGTTGTTGTTTTACATATTGTTATCTACAAGATAGTTTCTCAGGAAAACAAACAGATAAATAATAGTGAGTTACAGACAAAAGTGGTAGGTTATTATCAATGGTTGTTGTACTATTCTTTGGTATCTTCAAAGTGGTTTCTAAAGAAAAGAAATAGAGCTATACATGAGTGACCAATTGAATATTCATTGACTATTCTCAATGATTGTTGTAGGAAACACATAGTAGTAAACATACATCCACTTATGAAATAGCATATGAATAATACAAACATTACAGAGTTATGGACAGATTAGTAGGAAAGTATCAATGGCTGCTGTAATACATGGCGGTATCTTCGAAGTGGTTTCTCAGGAAGACAGAGATACACAAGAAGGATCTAACAACTAGTTACAGCCTAAGGGTTGTCAAAAATAGCACATTACCTCCTCACCAGTGACTCCTGTCACTGAGGTGTGACGGCTGGAAGGGAGGCCAGGATTGAAAAGAAGGACTGAGAGACTTGCACCTGTGTCTAGCAACAGGCTGTTTTCTTTTTCCTCTATAGTCATGATTACCTGGGGCTCCTCCTTGGAGATGACAGTCTGGCCAGAGGGAGAAGACAGAGTATGCCCCGGGGCCCCTCATTCTTGTTACATGAACTGGTAGGATGGGTCTGAGCTCTGGGCCTCCACTTCAGAGGGCAGACCAATCTCCAGTAGTCACCTTTGCATTCAGGGCATGGCCCAGGGGGCTTCTTAGGGCAGTTCCCCTTGAAGTGGCCTGGCTTTTAACAGTAGTAGCAGATGAATGCAGTCGTTGAGTTCTTCTTGGGGCCCCGGGAATCAGACTTAGGGTCTGTTTCTCTTAGTGCTGCAGCAAAAGCAGCTGCTTTTTCTTGGTCTCTTTGTTTTCTCTCCTTGGCCTCCTCCTCATCACGGCTATAGAATACTGAGGAGGCAATTCTTACTAACATCTCAAGTAAGCCATCTGGGGTGAAAGCCATTTTTTGTAGCTTTTTCTCTCCAGCCTCCCAAGGCATTGGGACCCCACAACCATTTAGTGTCCTCTTCCCAACCATCAGCACAGGCAGCAGGAATCTTGGTGCAGACCTCTCCGGAGCTCCACATACTCCTCTACCACAGCCTGTACTGTCAGGGGAAGAATGGCTTCCAGGGGATCTCCCTAGGTATTGCACAAGGTCCTCCTGGTTTTCAGCTTCCAAACAGCTCTCATGATGCCGGTCCACTAGACCTCTGACTCTTCGGGCTTAGGCTGTATTCTCGTGTTCTCCAAGTCCTTGTTCAGCAGCTGCTGCTCCACTGACTCTGGACGTTTCTGGTTCTCAACAGCAGGGGCAAGAGTGACCCATTGTGTGGCATGTATTTGCAGGGGTTTCTCCATGTCTGGATGATTCACGCACATCCCTGGGCAGGCCTCCATGGCTAGTGCGTGGCAGGCCAATTGTGTCTCTGCTTCTCTGTGCCATGATAGTTCTCATCCACACGGTGGCAGCTGGTTTGGGGGATGGCGTGTGCCAGCATGTGCCACCACATGGCTTCCTGGGTGCCGACTGCCCGCCTCCCAGGCGCCTTCATGGCTAGGGGCCGGCCCAAAGGCTGGCACTCTCAGCTGCGTGGCTTCCCGGGCACAGGTGGCCCACCTCCCAGATGCCTGTGTGGCTAGGGTCCAGCCCAAAGGCCGGCGCTCCCTGCTGTCATTAACTTTTAATAACAGGGTATGACAACACTAAGAAACAGGAATCTCCTGCATTTCAAATACACTCTTCCCTTCAGGTGAAAGGCTTCAGTTCATTTTTCCATTGTCCTATTCCTTCTCAACAACCACGTTCTCCTCTGTGTCATCCTTGCAATCCACAGATCCACTGGAACGTCTCCTCTGGCCAAACACTTCAAATCTCCCTGCTGGCTCTCTAATCTTAATTTCCAACATAGATCTGGCCAAAAGCTCTCAACAGTAACCATGCCACCATTCCAACAATAAACTGCATTGAAATTTTTCTGCCACCAGGCAACATCTCTAAACACAAGCAAAATGCAGACCACCTTTTTGCCAAAGCACAACATATACCACCTGGGATCCAGCAGCCAATGCAGTCCTCAATAGAAGCCTCCTGAGCCTCATCTTAACTGGCAGCATTTCCATCAGTTCTCTGATTTTCCAGGCTCTGACCAGAGTCTCCCATATAGTTTACAGCATTTGGGGGCTGCCTATTTGGCTAGTCTCTCAAAATCTTTCCAAATTAATTCCCTAAGGCTCTTAAGCCACATGGCCAGGCAATATCAGAGCAATGAGCCTATTCTTCTGGTACCAATTTGTTGTAGTCAGAATTTGCAAGGGAATGGATTTAATACAGGACATATAATTTATAGTATTATTTTATAATATTCACCCAAAGAGTCAAATGCAAAAGAGTGCAGGAGATCTGACCACATACTACAAACCCAAACAATCCAAATGAGGGCCTGGGGTCCCATGGCAATGTACTGCACGAGTCCAGCTGAAGATCTAGAACCCAAGGCAGTGTCTTCCATGAGTCCAACTGAAGGCCAAGAGCCTGTGACAGTGTCTCATGCAAATCGGTATCAAGGATCTGCACTGGAAAGGCTCAGAGTCAGTAGTGGAAACTAAAAGTTGGCACCAGTGGGATGAAGGATCTGTACCAGCAGCTGAGGGATCTGCACTGGAGCCAGGAAATGATGCTCAAGGTAAGGACCAGAGCTCCCCCAAAGAGAACTGCAGCCATCCTCAGTGACAGCGAAGACCTGAGCTCCTCCAATGATGAGAACAGCTGAGTTCACATCAGGAAAACCAGTGCAACAGGCTTCTTTGGAGAACCTACAGCACACTATCTTCCCCTCCAGTTCTGCTTTTACACTGTTGGCAACAATCCTCCGGTGGGCCTTCCACACCCATAACCAAGCTGACTCAATTCAGCTGGGTGTTACAAGTTGCTCATCAGTTAATCTACCACAGGTATTTAATTTCCAGCTCCCTTAGCCTTTAGTGATTAGGACAGGTTCCTTTAGTTCCTGACAAATGCAGTATCAACAAGATTTCTTTCATATTTGTATTCCTATCCCCTACACTTTCACTTCCAGTAGACACCAAGACACTTTCCAAATCCCACAAGGTAAGCATGCAGCCCTTAAAACTCACCTACCATCCCTGAGGCCCAGGTTCCAGAATGGACCTATTGCACTTAAAATTCTAGGAATGAGAGCAATCCCCTAGAAACTATGTAAATAAGTAGTTAAAAAGTTCTCAGTGCCACCCTGGAGTTTATTAAGTAGCATTCTGTGGGTAAAAAACAGAAGAATAAAGAATGCATTAAAATTTACATAAATCCTAATTTTTTTTTTTTTTGTACCGGGAATCGAACTCTGGGCCTTGTGCTCACCAGGCAGGCACTTGTGCTGCTGAGCTATATCCCCAGGCCAAATTTGCCTAAATTATACCTCCACAAAACTCTTCCTTCGATGGCCATCTACATGAAAACTTTTGCACTCTTAGAGGAAACCAAATTGTTGAAGAAATATCAAAATGCTAACTAGGATCTAAATCCACATAGAATACTTGATCCTAAAGAAGGAATAAGCCAATAATTTCAGTCACTTACATTGATCCCTTTTTATTTTGAAAGTACTATCACAAAAAATTATATCCCAAGTCTTAGGCAAGATTATGAATAAGCAATGTGGGTACTATTACCCTCTACACATACACTTTAAGAAACTGAGGTTCACACACAGTAAATAATTTGCTCAAATTCACATAACCGACAAATGGCAAAGGCCAGTCTTTTGAATTCAAGTCTAGTTCACCTTTGCTCTAGTTAAAAACTATTTCTGGCTTGGTGGGTACCCCAATAATGTGGGAATTCTATCAAATATTCATTCAGAAATATTTAAAGGGAAAAGAAAAGTTATGCACATTCTATTTCAATCCATTAACAATTTAATAAACATTTATTGGTCCACTACTGTGTTCAAAGAAGCATATTTTAGGCACTGTAATTTTTTTAAAAAACCAATACATAGCATTTAATTCGAAGAGTTTACGGAGGAGAAAGAATCAACAAAAATTAGATTAAGATGATGATTTTTGCTTTCTCAGTCTTAGAACATGGTATAATAGAGTTCAATAATGTTTGCTAATTCATAGATAATTTCACAATAGAAAGCCCAAAGGCATTCACAATTCATTTAATCTTCAACTATTTTCTTCTTCCCCCACACTCTTAGAGGATGAAAGACCTTTTTCAATTACAAAATAAACTCCCTCTATCTGTATTCTCAAATCTACCAAGGACCTCTTCAACTCCCTATAATTCAATAGCTCCTCTCTTCTGGTTCCTTCCTCTCAGGCCAAAGGAACATTTAACTATACCTCCGCATCCCCCAAAAACAAAATACAAATAAGGTACACTGTAAACACATAATAAATATTTGTTGGATTGAACTGTATACTCTAATCAAAGGAATCATTCACTATCTCAAATACATCATACTCTCATTCAGAGTTTCTCCTTAGCTCAAATTGTTTCCTCTAACTGAATGGAATATATTCCTTTCTCTTCTCCCTTGTAGATACCTTTCACATCTTTCAAGATCCATTTAAAATACTTTTGCCTTCAAGAAACCTTTGCCATCCCAGTCCTCAACACTAACTCTGGACTTCTGTCATGGCATACACTATACCTTGATGGAACCACTACTGCTGGAAACTACATGAGGGCAACAACTGCATCTTGCTTGCTATTATCACTACCAGGACATCTGGCACTTTATTTTCTCCTGCATTCCATACATACTGCTTGAATTAAATGAAAAATCTTTAGCATTTTTCTCTACCATCTATCCATCCATTACTGGATCAAGCCACAATGGCACTTGGGTATTGTTATGGTTGATTCATTGTGTCAACTTGAGAAGTTTAGAAGCTTAACTAAGTAACTCATCAGGGAGCCAAAGCCCTCACTTTGTAAACATCCTGAGCCTTTGCAAGAGGAGGGCACAGAGATGGTGTGAGTGCTACACCCAAGAGGGTGGTGGTAGCCCCCATACAGTAAAAGGGAAAAAAAGGGGCTTGGTCCCCCTGCTTCTGCTCTTGTTGTTTTTGCTGTCTTCTGCCACCTTGAACTGTTGCCCCTCACCATGCCACCCTGCCTTGGAGCCAACTGATTATGGACTGAAACCTCTACAAACTAAGTGAACTAAATAAACCTTTCCTTCCTTAATTTTGGGTGTTGGGTATTTTGTCTTAGCAGTGAGAGAAAAGTAACCAACACAGTTATATAGGCCTCTATTTTTTCCTTTTCTGACATGTTCTTAAGACCATGATAAAAAAAGACTGGTTTATAGAAAGTAATCTGACTCACCATTTTTCCATTTTCTCCAGTTTCAGGAAAAAAAAAAGAAAAACCCTCCTCAGTTTTATACCTGTCTGAAGAATAAATATAAACCCATGAAATAGTATCTACTTTACCCTGAGAATCCTTATAGTTGTCCAGAGGCTCAGAAACAACCATTACCTACATCCTTGTCCTTCTTATCCTTCCCATCCTTACTAATGCATCACTGATAAAAAGTCTCTTCGCTATTTTAAGGGAGAAAGAAAGCAAATGAAAATTGTTAAGGAAAACTCAGAGTAAATGAGCATCCCAATAAACTATAAAGCCAAACCAAACACTGTAGCCTTAGGTCAATCTGCTGCTTCTAAGTTAAACAGTATTCATAGTAAAAATGGAAGAACACCCAAATTGCCAGTGTCAAGCCTGAACGCTAGTAAAAATAAGGAAAAAACAACTTCTAAGCCTCTCTTTTTCTGACGTACCACACGAAGTACAAATATAAGACAAAAGGATCACCATGGAACATGAAATAGAATACACTTAGATTCTTCCTGAGAACCTAATTTACCTTTTACTCATTTCTACTTCCTTGAAAGTTAGAGTTCCTAATGATTCTGGGAATAAGAGTATAAAATCTAATGATACAAAAAGAAAAGTAACAAGAGGACTATGGGTTGATCTTATCTAAACCATTCTTCACTGGCCCTAAGATAAAGCAATCAGGTTGAATAATACAAATAATCAGGTTCTTTCCCCTTGCACAAAAAATAATGCCATACATTGTAAATAAAAATGACAGTAAAACCTAAACCTGTCTAATAATGTGCATAATGAGAGATAAAGAAAGTTGATGATACCACCACTCCACCTCTGCAATGGACTCTTGAACGGATCATCTTCTTCATGGTCAACTTCCATATGTCTAATTTCTAATAATTGAGGAAACAGTAACTGATAGTGAGATTTATTTGAGCAAAACATTGCTGAGTTCTGAACTTATTTCCAAAGGAACTATAGTCATCCATAAAGATGAATTACAGAAACAACTGTAAAAAGTGTTAAATCATTCTCTGCACTCAGTTTCACAGAGGAGGATAATGGCAAACAGGAGTACAGGCCCTCCTTGGAAAAGTGAGGAAAAAAAATCTTGGAAAAAAGTGAAATCTTAACTCTAATGAGATTCAGTAGTTCAAATATCACAAAGATGCCACCTGAACAAATAATCAAATGTCAGTGAGGGGCCAATATGTTTTATGCCTCTTAGGTAAATGTTTTAAGAAAAATTAAAATTGACAAAGAAGTCACTTTACCTCTTAGACATCATTATGGTGGCACTGATGAATAAAGCTGAAATCAGAACATTTTCTATGAGACTCTGAAATGGGGACAGCGTAGGGGACTAGGAGGTTAGAAGAGATTGAGGAATAAAGAGTGAAGAAAACTGCACTATTCATTTTTCTTGGCTTTGGGACAATCCAGTCATCCACTATTTTGAACAAGCAACCCAGTCAAACACCAGCGCCGCTGTGTATGGTTTCTCTGGCCCCCACTCTCCCTTTAACTTCTCCTTCTGAGTGTCTCTGGCTCAGAAGCCCAGCGACTTAGGTTTTCCCAGGAAACCTGGGCAAATCTCATTTGGTGGGAAGTCATTTCAGACTTTTTCATGGCTGCCAACATAATTCTCCCTGCTGTTTGCTGAATAGAAGAAATGTAATGAAGCTCTAATCATATTATTGAAAATGACCTGAAAACAAGAAATTTGATTTTTAAAGGACCATAGAATATCATAATTTCATTTAGAGTGTTTGCTGTATCAGTCTAAATTTACCTTCATCTAGAATACACTCACTTGCTTCATCTCAAAGATGTTTCAACTGTCGAAGTTTCTTTCCCATTTAAAAATAAGCTCCCTGATCATTCCTTCATACAACAGACATTTATTTATTGTTGCTTATATCCCAGACTCTATGTGGTCAAGATTCTTCTGCCACAGGGGGCACAAATAGTTGTGAAGGTTAGTAGCTACTAATGTATCTTTTTTTGGTCTTTTTTGAGACAGGGTCTCAGTGTGCAGTTCAAGCTGGCCTTGAGCTCCCTTTGCAGCCCAGGCTGGTCTCGAACTCACAACGATCCTCCTGCCTCAGCCTCTGGAGTGCTGGGATTACAGGTGTGCACTACCACACCCAGTTAATGTATCTTGTTAAATGTACTTATTCTGCCAGAGTGGAGAATACATGCCAACCCCTATGTTTCCCTGGTTTGACAGGTTTAGGCTTCTTCTTCTGCTACTAACTATATGAGGGCTGTGATATGAGCAGAATGCCAGGCTTTTTTTTTTTTTTTTTTTTGGGTATCGGGGCAATGAACTCAGGACCTCGTACTTGCCAGGCAGGTGCTGCGCCGCTGATCTATACCCCCAGCTCATGCTTGGAATTTTCTACCTTCATTTGTACTAAGCATTGATTTTTTAGAACACTGGATTTATAAAAAACATATGGGTTTATAAAGAAGTCCAGAAAAAAATTTCCAGGCCTCCTGAGCTGTTCAGAAAGGAATGAACCCAGTTCACCAGACAAACCCTACCTCTGTATATTCCAGCAAATACAAATTAAAAACAGAAAAAAATAAAGTTTCAACTAAGAAAATGTTTATTTAGCCACCATGTAAAACAAAGTATCAGTTATCCCTTAAAATAATCAATTCTCTATTTTATACTTTACAATACATTATAACTACTTATGAAATTTAAATTCTTATGAGCAGAAGAGAAATTAAGGCTCTTCCTCCTGTCAAACCCACACAGAAACTTACTCTGCTATGTTGAGATAGCCACAGGAAGCTGCCGCATGAAGAGGTGTCCAGCCCTCATTGTCTTGCTGGTTTACATTGGCTCTGTTCTCCACCAAAAACTTCACCATGTCCAAATTTTCATCAATACAGGCCTGAAAAGAAAAGCCCATTCAATCATTCAACAATTACTTACTGAGTCCTAGTGTGTGCCAGGTATTGCTTTGGACATTGACAATGCCCAGTACTTCAAGTGATACATTAATTTTTATTTCTTTCATACTAAGGACTTGTAAGCCTGCAAGTACTATATTACTATTTTTTATAGTAGCAAGAGCAGTAAAAGGATTAATTATAAAAGGGATTTCTAAAGTGCTATAAATGGGTAAACTCTTTTACCACTGTAATATAAAAAGAAGAGCATGCTAGAAATCTGATAAACACTGATTTGCTTATGAATTTTCAAAGAAAAAAGAAACACATATGTTCTGATGCAAATTTCTCCGTGGGAAATTACAGTCTGGTGAGAAAGAGTAGGAGGATCATTTCAGGTAGAAGAAATGTATTTTCTGAATGGGGTTAGGGATCCTTATCTGCCTACTTCTAGCAGCAATTAGAGGGACAGCACAAAAGTTTTTTGAATAAAGGCTTCAGGCCTTTAAGAAACAGTCACAAACACCAAGATGTGCAAAAACCAAAAAGCTGTCTTGACACAACTACAAAATAAAAAGGAGGCAAAAAAAAAAAGAGGTAGAAGGCCTACATTGACAAAAGAAATCATTATCAAGGTTTAGATGTTTCCCAAACAGTTGGGATAACGAAGGACCTAAAAACAAATGAGACCATCTTTTTAAAACTTGCCTATGAATGCCTTCCTTCAAATAAATAAATACTTTTAAAATTTTCATAGAGGAAGAATTCATTAGCCAAATAAAAATGATTGCCACAATAATATTAGGAGCGTATCTGCATTTTGATTGTGTTGACATTGGCACTAATGATGCAAAAGCAACGGTGAGTGAAATGGTAGTGCCTTAGCACAAATCAAGATAAGTAGCTTCAAGAAAAACCAATTCCACTTAAGAATGATATGAATGAAGCAGTAAAACTTATTAATTTTACTTCATCTAAATCCGTGAGTATAGTATAAGTTTTTTAAATATTGTGTGACAAAATGGGAGGTATACTTGAAGCACTTCTGCTATGTGTGAAGGGTGAGCCCACTGCTAGGAAAAAGCACTTGTCTGTCTGACTTGCAAGACAAACTAGCCACTTTTTTCACAAAACACTATTGCTATTCAAAAGAATTACTGACAACTTATAGTTATTCAAACTTGAACAAGACGAGCCTGTCACCTCAAAGAAAATAACTACCATTTGCTGTCACTGATAAAACTCAGCCATGCAAGGGGAAAGTGGAATTTTGGAAAACTTGGTCAACACCACGAGCTCTTGTGCACAACGGGAGTATCAAACAACAAGGATAATCCGTTCATTACATAGTGAAATGTGTTTACATTTGGAAGGTCTGCATAACTGAGTAAACCCATATTTTCCAAATAACCCAATGCATGATGTTGGAGAATCACGGGTAAAAGATTCACTCAATGTACAAGTTAGACCAATGGGTTCTGATGTAACGAGTAAAACCAGTCCATGGACATGGTTTCAGTTTCAACCAGTATTTAAGAAACTACCACTTGGAGTTTTTGTATAGTACACAAGAACAACACCCACAGTTGTCTGAGTAAGCAATTAAAATACTCCTCTCTAAAAGTATATATATATATATATTTTTTTTTGTTTGGGTTTTTCTCCGGTGCCGGGAACCGAACTCACGACCTTGCGCTTGCCAGGCAGGCGCTTTGCCGCTGAGCTAAATCCCCAGCCCCCTAAAAGTATATTTTTAATTAAAATGAAATTTATATTATTATGTAAGACTCATTCAACTGAATTAATACCTATATTTTTTCAAAGTAATATAGTTCTCAATAATATACAACAACAAATATAAACAATGTTCTCAATAAGTTAGGGGAGTTTTGAAAAATTTTAAGTGTAAATGAATCTGAAGATGAAACAGTTTGAGAACTACTGTCTTCCATCAGACTTACTAAGAAGTACTTTATGGTGATAATGAGTGTTTAAATAGAAGATCACTGAGGAAAGAATTCAAGTTAGAGCTTTAGAAGACCTCTGTAAATAAAGTACCAAGTAGTACACATAACAAGAAAACTTATGGGAGTTCCCTCCAACAGTAAGCCTCATGCCAAACCTGCCTAAAAGCAGGAGTATGGCTGAAAATTTAATTCAGGTAGAAAAAAAATTGGGGGGGTTGTGTAAATGCTTGCTCAAACTTTGCATAGCTTTTTCTTTTTTTTGTCTTTTTGAGACAAGGTCTCACCAGGCAGTTCAGGCTGGCCTTGAACTAACTTTGTAGCCCAGGCTGGCCTCAAACTCACAGCCATCCTCCTGCCTCAGCCTCCCAAGTGCTGGGATTACAGGCATGTGCCACCACGCCCGGCCCAAAAACATTTTTTTTTTGAGAGAGGGTCTTGCTATGTAGTCCAGGCTGGCCTTAAACTCACTCTGTAGTCCAGACTGGCCTCAAACTTTCAGTGATCCTCCCGCCTCAGCCTCCCAAGTGCTGGGATTATAGGCATGTGCCCCCATGCCTGGCTAGGTGAAAATTTAATTAGCTACCTGGATACAAAAAGCAACTTGGTTAATTTTTCCCAAATCACTTGATATTCTGTATAAAATAACTGAGATTGGGGATGGGGATTTAGCTCAGCGGCACAGCACCTGCCTGGCAAGCGCGAGGTCGTGAGTTGGATTCCCAGTACTGGAAAAAAAAAAAAATAACTGAGATTAGCTAAACATATTAGCCTAGATTTGATTTGATGCAATAATATAATTCCTCCAACTTGACCTTTTAAGTTCAAATGAGCTAGCCAATATTCATAAGTCTCTTTTTCAACAAGCTGCTCTAGAAATTACGCTTCTATGACACATATAATCTTTGTTTTATCAACTTCTATAAGCATTTTCTATTTACTTTCATTATATGACACTTAAAAATTATTCATAAAATATTTTTAAGTTTTTGATAATTATTCTTATCACTATGCATACATTGTATGTTTGTCAGTCTGCAATTCTATCTGGTAAGGTGCTGCCAACTCACTGCAGAGCACTTTACTAAACACTATAAAACTTCAAGTGAAAAATGGGAAATGAGCATGTATTAACCTGTTTTCTGATGCTATTATAAAGTACCTGAGTAATTTATAAAGGAAAGTTTATTTTGACCCATGGTTCTGGAAGCTAAGAAGTCCAAGACTAACCAGGTGGCAACATCTGTTAAGGCCTTGTGCTACTCTACCTCATGGCAAAAAGTAGAAGGGCAAGCAAGAATGTGAGAGAGAAAAGGAAGCTGGCCTCATAACCCATTCCCACAGAAAAAAGGCATTAATCCATTAATGAAAACTCTACCCCCTCAACTCCAAGCACTTCGCTTTAGGAACCCCCCTTCCCAACACTGCTGCATCAAAGAATTAAAGTTTCAACACATCAGCTTCTAAGGGACACACTCAGGGAAGCTTCCAAAAAAGTACTGCCGTCCAAGCAGACTATTTTAGGGATTATATTATACACACTCTTTGCTCTTAATAGTAACTCCTATTCTGTCATGGTTAATCTTGATTGGCCAGGGACCTAGGAGATCAGTAGAGCATACTTTTGGATGTGTCTGGATTGGGCCACAGGGGTATGTCCTGAGGGAATATATCTAGTCCCTGATCCCTTCCTCTGGCTCTTTCCCTGCTCTCTGCTTCTTGGATGCCACAAGTTGTACAGGTTTGCTACCACCATGCCCTTTTCCCATGTTTCTGTGTTGGAGCCAGCTGACCATGGACTGACACCTCTGAAACCATGAGCCACAATAAACCTTTTCTTCTGCACGCTGGGTATGTCAGATATTTTATCCCAGCAGTATGAAAGATGACCAATACATGTATTAAATGTGTCATCTTAACTTGGATAACCCAGGACAGTTGGGTCAATTACTTCTTGCTTGGTTGCAAAATGTCTCTGGCTCTGAAAAAAGAACAGTCTAAAATCTTAGCTCCAATGGCTACACCACCACCAGGCAGACTTTTAAAAGCCAATTGTTTTCAAGATAATTCTGTGTCCTTTGAGGATGTTAGCAGCCAAATTCCAGAGGGCCTAAAATAAGCCCAGCTAGTCCAGGTATCAAACAGGAGAAAATTAATCTTTTCTTCTTTTTAGCTCTCTTGCTTTTCTAATCTTCACTACTTCAGCTTCCCTCCTTTCCAATTTTGTGATATTGTTATCTATAGATTTCTAATCCTTGACACAGTATGCTTATGGGGAATGATACTGTGAGGAAGTTTGAGAGAACGGCAACAATAAGAAACTGGCCTAATCTGAACTGTAATTTGGCAGGTCATCAATCTATGAAGAACTATTTTAGAGAAAATAAAGTAGTCCAACTGCTCAAATCATTCTCTACATCCTCTACAAAGTGAAGGACAATAATTGTTAAAAGCATCAGCTTCAAGGGCAGACAAACCAGGGCTTAGATACCAGCTCCACCAATGCATATAACCACAAGCAGGAGAGCTAATCTAGGTACTATTGGTACACTCCTCTAGAACACTGGGAAGACTGCCCACCTCAGGGGTTTGTGAGAATTAAAAGAGGTACCTCCTTGGGATAGTTCCTGATGTTGTGTTTAAGCTAACAGTTTAACAAATAGCAACTTCCTCAGGAAAAAACCATACACATCTAAGACTTCTAAACTATCACATTCAGCCCCCACCCTTGGTATGGGAGGAAAGCAGTTTGATTAAAAATGTCTTTCAACTAGCAAGATTTTGGATGTTATTTGTAAGTTTAACTTCAGAAAATTCCCTCTCTCCTTTTTTGAGTACTGTAGCTTCCTAAATTCAGAGGTATAGGAATAAAATGGTTATGTACACTGGTTAAACTGAAAGAGTATTACGCTTGTAATCAATTCAATACCGATCAACACAATTGTAGGACATTTATTCTCATGAAATACCTGGGAAGGATGGCTTCCTCCACCCCTCTGCCACCTTTTCTTCTCTCCCTCTTTTCCATCTCTCCTCTT